TCCTTTTACAGATGAGGAAACTAGGGCAGATTAAAGTGATTGGTCCGAGCCTTTCACAGGTGGGCTTCCAATTCAGATCTCTTGGACTGTAAAATTCACTGTTTTCCAACATTTTGTCTTTAATTTTGTTTTTTATTTCTTAGCTTTTCATTTAGAAATAATTTGACTTACTAAACATTTCAAACACAACATTGCAATAACAAAGAATTCCCAAATACCTTTTTTCCAGCTTCCCCAAATCACAGTATACTTTTTAAAACCAGCAAATTAACAGTGACACAATGCTATTAACTAACCTATAGACCCTATTCAGGTTTTGCCAATTGTCCCCTAATGTCCTTTTTCCAGTCTAGGATCCAGTTCAGGATCCCACATTGCATTTAGCTGCCAGTCTCCTGCAGTGTAGGACGGTTCCTCAGTCTTTCCTTTCCTTTCTGGACCATAATGATTTTGAAGAGTGCTGGGCAGCTATTTGTCGTATATCTTTAGCTGCACTGGGTTTATGCATACATGTCATGTTCTGTTAAGAGGATTTTCCTTTGTATTACAATGATAAACTGTCTTTTCAAAAAACTTCACTATGCTGTTGCTGATTATTGGGCGATTTTTGAAAGAAAGAGGCTAATGTGCTGTTGTTTGGCTTTTGTTTGGAATCATAGCTTGTCCTGGGCAGAAGGACCTTGGAAGATCACCTGGTGGTTCATCACCCTGGACTCACAGATGGCAGCGTCGTAGGCTGCTTGTCTTGGCTCATCGATCGTTGTTCTTTCTGTTTCATCATCCTATTGGCCTTAAAGACCAATGAACAGCCATTCAAAATACCTTTCAATTTAAGTATATTTTGTCCTTGATCATTGAAGTTTTGATTAATTTATAACTCATTTAATCTTGATATAAAATCAACTTTGCCTTTCTTCTGCAATAGACTCTGGTTTGGAGCTCATAAAAGGAATTTGGCATAGTTCATGGTGATTTCTTTCTGCTGCCAAGCACCAAATTTCTTTTCAGCAGCCCCATCTCTTTGCATGTACATGTTTGTCAGCAGCCTAGATAACAGATTTCCTTAATGCTTATAAAATGGATATGTTAATATACCAGACTTACTGTAGGTCTTCTTTGCCTTCTTTGCAGGACTATTCAGATAGATCTTTCACTTACCTGCTTCCTTGTACTCTCTTGGCTAACGGACAGTGACTCCTTTGGATGTCATTGACTCTTTCTAAGAGGGGGAGGAAATGTTATTAAAAAAACAGGCATTGTCTTCTGAGCTTTTTGGAAAATTGATGTTTTAGTAACTCTTTTAAGAGTAGGCTTTCTGAAAGCTTATGGGTTTTTTTCCCTCAGCAAATATGAATGCTAAATGTTGTATCTTCATGAATCTTCTCCCACAAACATATTGAATATTATTTCTGTAATTAGAGGGACTCAGTTTCTTGGCCTCTCACTTTTTATATGTATGTGTTTGTTTTAATGCATATTCCCCCCCAATATTATGCAGTTCTTGGCTTATCTTTTAATATGTAAAAAATAAATGAAAGCAAGAAGATACAACAGCTTTAGGAGAGTCTAAATCTTATCTTTGTTAGAATGTTACATATATATGATTATACAGTGGTATTTGCAATAGTTTCATGTCTTGGGAAAGGAAAAGGAGTTAGTTTACACATTCTGTGAAGAAAGTGAAAATTATAAGGAAATGCAAAATCAAGTCAAATATACCTTTAAAAATCCCTTAAATCATCCATAAAGTAGTATAGCATACATGGTATATGTATGCAGCCTGTGGGATCATTCTTATGCACACTGCAGTTTGTGATCACCTGAGCCAGTATTGAGAAGGATAAGGGCTTTTGGCAGATATGTGGATCTTCAGATCACATTGCTTTCATGAGAGTCTCTAGTATGAAATGGGGATTGAAGAATCCAGGTGTGACCTGCTCATCTACAGGCTTTACACTATTATAGGAAAAATATTCTGTATATTAATACTTGATAGGATTCCATGCTTTGAGAAGGAATGAATGAGATCATGTGCATGACAGTTTCTCTAGGATAGCACCCTGCATGAACACAGTAGCTGCTCTGTAAGTCTTTGATGGGTGTGATCCTGATTTAGCTTGATCAATTCTGCAGTCATACTGGATTGTGTTTGAAAAGGTCTTTAGAATAACCTGGCCACCTGCCTCCTGTCTTCCCAGGTTAGTGTTTCTGGTGTTGACCTTTTCTGAGAAGCCTTCCCTCTTTCAACCCTTTCTCATTGGAGTTTTGGTAAATTTTCATGAATTAAAACATGAATATTCAAGTTACCACAAGGTGGCATCAGATAATTTCAAGTAACGCCAGGTAGGGGGAGCCTCAGTTCAATAATTCTTTAAAGAGGTTGAAATATGTACCTTTCATAGTATGATAGTTAGCTATTGCAAATAAACCCCTACTTTCTTCTACTATTCTTGTATGGAAACTTGAAACTCATAGCTGTTCAAATCCAAAAGTTGTGTAAGTGTGAAGTATTTGAGTTTATAATCTTTAAGAATTTCTCTGATAACTTAGTGAAGTAGTCAGAACTTGAAAAATTTTATCACCTCGTCTCCCTGGTGATTACATTTTCAACTCTTATAATTCAATTTAGTCATCTCCCTACAACTGACATGAATTTATAATGTTCAGTCAATATATATTTATGGATATGTAATGAACAAGCTAGAACTGTAGTAAAGGAGATAAGCCCATTTTACTTCAGTGTACAAGTTGCAATATACACATATATAGTCACAGTTCAGAGGACCTGTGTGAGTCTCAAATATCTCCCTTGCTTTAGCGGGTACTGTGTAAGTGAAAGTCTACTTTGCTGAGGAGCAGAGTGTCTATACCTAACCCTCTGTCATGGGCATGTAACTTGGAAGGGCTAAACTGCAAAATCAATGTAGTTTCAAGCATCTTTTTTTTTTCTTTTTTTCTTTTTTTTAGACGGAGTTGCACTCTGTCACCCAGGCTGCAGTGCAATGGCACAATCTTGGCTCATTGCAACCTCTGCCTCCCAGGTTCAAGCAATTTTGCTGCCTCAGCCTCTTGAGTAGCTGGGACTACAGGTGTGCACCACCATACCTGGCTAATTTTTGTATTTTTAATAGAAACAGGGTTTCACCATGTTGGGCAGGGTGGTCTTGAACTCCTAACCTCAAGTTGCCTCCCAAAGTGCTGGGATTACAGGTGTGAGCCACTGTGCCCAGCTAAGCATTTTTTCCCCTAGGGCTAAAAATTAATGAATGAAGATATAAATAAATAGATTTTGAAAAACCAAGTTTTTCATCAGTTATCAAGATTGCAGTTTCCAGGATGGAAATGTGAATGACAGAGTTTATCAACATGGAACGTGAAGAGAGATAGTGAGGTTGTCAAAAGCAGAGCCACTGCTCTCTTTGCAGATTGGTTTCTGACTGAAGGCAGGCTCATTTTCCAAATTGATCCGTAAGGTCATTGAGGTTTACATTCCAAATTTTTTTATTTATTCAGAAAATATTGACTTAGTACTTTCTATGTGCCAGACATGTATAATATAGGAGTAACTGAAATGGACAGTATTCCTGCCCTCAGAGCCTGTGTTCTAATCTACTGTCTTTTTGGGTCATCGATATCTTTAAGAACGTGTTAAAATGATGAACCTCTTTCCCTGTAAAATCCGTTAGTAAATCACACACACACACACACACACACACACACACACACACAGACATACACACACACAAAGCTGCTGTGGATGGAGACCTAGGGTTCAGAAAACTTAAAGCTCAAGTTTGCCAAATGAGGGGCCTTTTTTCTTCCTTCCCTCAGCCTGCCAGCTGCTCTTGCCTTCTGCTCAGCGCTTTGTGATGTCATGGATGACTTCCCACTAATTTTCAGATTTGATCACATGATAAATAGGTAAACCTCAGGAAAAAAGAATCCAAGGGGGCTTGGTGGGCTCGGGTCAGCAGCTACCTTGTCTTGTGGCTTTTAGGAGGTCACTTCTGCTTGCAGTGTCTCTCTTTTCACATCTGAATAATGGAAAGGAATGTATTAGATTAACTATTAGGTGATTTGGTGGTAGGTTAGGTGGGCAGGCTTTGTAGGCTGGCAGAAAGAATCTGGGGGTAAATTAGGTTATTTATTAGCTGGACAATTCGAGCAAATTGCTTAATTTATCTAAGCCTTATTTTTCATATAGGAAGTGGAAAAATAAGACATAGCTTATAGAGCTAATGTATATAAACTGAACTAACGTATAAAAAGTATGTAAATTGCCTAGGACAAAAGTGGTAGCTATTATCAACCACCTTGTCACAGCCAAATTGTCTTTCAGGGGAATTAATTCAACATGTTAAATATTTATTGAGCATTTCCTATGTGCCTAGCATAGCATACTTCTATGATTATCCTACTGTGATGCTAACCCAGCCTGCGGGCAATGATATTAGATAATGGTGAAGAGGTCCACTCTGTATTAATACAAACAGGCCTGGTTTAATTTCCTGGCTCCACAAGGAGCCAGCTGGGTGACGCTAAGCAATCCGGTCTTCATTCAGTTTCCATATCTGAAAGATGGGGATGATGATATCACATAAATCAGTTACAACGGAGAGAGAGGCTGCTGGATTTAGACAAGATTGTGCCAGGAAAGCATTTAGTACAGTGCCTAGCACAAAGAACACTCTTATGTTAGGCTGGTTCAATATTAATAGTATTATTATTTATTGATTAGCTTAACCTCATCCCCCCTCTCTATTCAGGGCTATGTTGGATCTAAAGAAGGTTTTTCCCAGATTTCATGTAAGTCAAGATGATGATAAGCATCTCACTTACGTAGGAGAAATACAAAATTAAGATCCATGATTTAAAACTGGGCTTTGTTTAGAAGTTTCTTGGAAAGCATTTACTACTCCTGCAAACAGTGGTGGTTACTACTAAATAATTCACTTTGGTAGAAGATTAATGGTAATTCTTTTTTATATGTTTTTGTTTAGTACCCGAACCCCATGGATAAAAATGTCATCTCTGTAAAAATCATGGAGGAAAAAAGAGGTAAGTTCTCTATACAGCTTTTTTGGTGATGATCATGATAGTGGTTTTTGTGAAAATGTGTGTATGTGTGTGTGTGACCTCTTAGGTTTTTTAAAAAAATTGATCACCTGTGGTTCCTTGCATTATTAGTTTTTAAACAGGTATATTTCTGTACTTGAGGTGACTTAGGTGTGGCAGGTAAAGCACCAGCATTTATGATAATAAAAGTCCGCCAATGCTTTTTGTCACTTTCTAAACTAATAATGACAGTACTGAGCTATATATAATTGTAACCACTAACATTTTTGAGCACTTAATATGTGCCAGGTCCTCTTTTATTAACTCATTTAATCCTCAGAACAATGTGTGGGATAGGTATTAGACTACTCATTTAAGGAATGGAGAAACTGAAATACAGAGAAGTTAAGTGACTTGCTCAAGGTCACATAGCTGTGGCCTATTATCATATCATCTTGTAGATGGCAAAATGCATATGATTAAATATGAGATGTCACCGTAAAGTGATTGCTTATGGAATCAACTACTTGGCAGTGTAGGTTAGCATTGACTAGAGCAGGAGTTGACAAGCCATGGCTCCTGCTGCCTGTTTCAGTAAATAAAGTTTTATTGGAACATAGTCACATTTGTTTACATGTCATCTATGGCTGCTTCCTCACTACAACAGCAGAGTTGATCAGTTCCCACAGAGACTTTATTGCTCACAAAACTTAAATTATTTACCATTCTGATTCTTTACAGAAAATGTTTACTGATTCCTGGTCTAGAGCGTAGGAATCTTTTCTGTTCTGTGTTATCCCCATCTCCAGCAAAAAACATTATCAATGTCACTGTTTAAATTTGAGAACTGGGCAATGCAGGAAACTGTGACAATGCACATAATCAATGTACAAAGCTTTGGAGACACTGAGGCCTAAGTATGGGATGCCTTCTTAGGAATCATGAGATGCTACTGTTTATCATGTGACTCTGAAGCCCTCTCTGTGCTTGGTAAACGTAACTGCCTTTTGCTTGCGTATGCATTTTTTGTACTTCTATAACTATACAGGTATATTAAAAATGTTTTCTCATGTACGTGCACTGTGGGAGAAACTTGTTATTTGTCATCAGAGAAATTGGATTTCAATACTATCTTGGTGACCTTTTTGGAGCCTCAGTTTCTTCATCTGTCAAATGGGAAAACAATCTTGTTTTTAGGTTATGAAGATCAAATGAGAGAACACTGTGCATGTTCTAAATTGAAATGTTAATTTTGATTTCTATCATTGTCAGGGGCATCTTTGCCTTTGGGAGTGGCTAATCCATTTTGAGTATGTGGGTGAGATGGCCAAAGAGAGGGCCAATGGGCAGAGGAGTTTGCACCCTGTCAGCAGCTTCTGGGCAGTCAGGGTTTTTGCATCAAGGGTTGGGGCTACTATAGCCAGAGCTTTGAGAAAACCTGTAGCAGCATGGCTAAGTCAGTGATTTACAAAGCAGAAGACTGCACTTCAGAGTTTATTCTTTCCTCTGCCTTTGCCTTTCTTTTTCCTAAATCACATTGTGATTTTTACATCACTGGTTTAATTCTAGAAACTTCACCCCAGAACAAAATGATTGCAGTCATAGTGTTACAGTAGGTAGCTAAGTCAGGTATGAGCAGGACAGAGAGGGCTTACACACACACACACTCACACACAGTGTTGGGTGACCATCAGGTGATGGTCATGTGGTTGTTAACTGTCTCTGTAAAGTAATAATTGGTCACAGCTGGCACCAGGCAGCGGCACATTCCTAATAGAAAACATCTGAAACTGATGAGCAGGACAGAAGAGGGCTTGCACACACACAGTGTTGGGTGACCATCAGGTGATGGTCAAGAGGTTTTTTAACTATCAGTCTAAATAATAATTGGTCACAGCTGGCACCAGGCAAAGGCACGCTCCTAATAGATAGAAAACACCTGAAACTGATGATCAGCAGCTTCCTGATAAGAGCTCAGGATTTGGGAGAAGTGATGCAAGACCCCGGATGTATGCCAGCGTATAAAAGCCCAAATCAAAAGGTCAGACCACACATTTGCCTTTCAGGTTGCCCACTTGGCCCTCTTCTAAGTGTACTTTCCTTCCTTTCATTCCTATCCTAAAGTAACAGGAATAGCCTTTTCCTGTTTAGGTGAGTTTACTAAAAAGAGCAGGAATAGCCATTTTCTATTCATTTTAATAAACTTTCACTCCTGCTCTAAAAACTTGTCTTGGTTTTATGCCCTTCTGCCTTATGCCCCTCAGTTGAATTCCTTCTTCTGAGGAGGCCAGAATTGAGGTTGCTGCAGACCTGTGTAGATTTGCTGCCAGTAACAATAGGAAGTCTACCTCCTTTTGAGAGATGAATATGGCCAATATAATTAATTATAGGTCTAAATTTTGTAGACAGAAATCTGTGCTTGAAAGTTTGGTACAGAAGGTAGCAGCATTAGATTCTTTCCCTTTTTGCTGAAACATTGAATTGAGCAGGTCATCGTCATTGGAGTACTGACATGGATGGTCCAGAGCAGTGAATGGCTGTGATTCTTTCATTTTGATGTTGGAGGGCGTGTTCTGAATTGCTATTGTACCCTTATTCCTTCATCACAGATAAGGAGTATCTGATTTGGCCCAGAAAAGTGTCAGGGAAACTGAATTTTGAGTTAAACATTTTCTGTAGGAATTCTGCAAATAGAAAATTGAGATTGACTTTAAAAGATTTATTGACACTAAGAATACATTTTCCTTAATTTTTTGTGTGGAAAAAATTTTCTTTTTTAGATGAATCAACAGGGATCATCTACAGAAAGAGGATTGCAATCTGTCAGAATGTGGTTCCAGAAATATTAAGGAAGGTAAGTTCATTTGAAAATTTAATCCCAGTTGTAACATTAACTTTTTTTCATTTTTTAAAATTATACTTTAAATTATACATGTGCAGGTCGTGCAGGATTATTACATAGGTATACACATGCCATGGTGGTTTGTGAGTAATTTTTAATAATCATGGAAAGGAACAGCATTTTCTGATGTAAAGGAGCACTAGAAACTTCCTACTTCTCTTACTTCATAGCCTCCTGAGAAAGAAAGCTGTTTCTTATCCAACCTCAGTTTTAGCAGAAGTCACTGGAGATACTTGTCTCTGTCTCACTGCTTATGAAGGACTCTTAATGGACAGAGATGTTGTGCAGTTATTTTAAAGATACTTTGGGCATTTTACATGAAGTGACTATCTAATCTGTTCATAGTGAGAAATGACTCAGGTGAGAATAATCAGAAATGGGACGATTGTAAATATTTAGTCTCATCTTTAGTAAGGAAGAGAAAAACTTCCGTTTCTAATTCACTATCAGAGATAACAGTTGTTTCCCAGAGTATAGTGTTCTCCATGCCCTCTGTGAGTCTTTATGTGTATAATATTAATGATGAAATCTTTATGATAGCAAATTGTTTTCTCTCTTTGAAGTCCTTAAGCACTCTGGTGATTCTTTATTGGAAAAAGGTGAGTGGAAATTTTTAATCGCATTGCTTGAACCATAGAGGGATTTTCAGTGGGAGTCCTTTTAGAGCTATGAGGAAGTCAGAGGAAAGCATCTGGATATGCACTTTCAAACAGGCCTCAGAGGGTAGTTTCAACCCGAGAGAGATTCTGTGTATGATGTTGTGATATTCCATTCTCAGGCTGCTAATAAAGACATACCCGAGACTGCGTAAGTGATAAATAAAAAGAGCTTTAATGGACTCACAGTTCCACATGGCTGGGGAGGCCTCACAATCATGGTGGAAGGTGGAGGAGGAGTAAAGGCACCTCTTAGATGGCAGCAGGCAAGAGAGCATATGCAGGGAAATGGCCCTTTATAAAACCATCAGATCTCATGAGACTTATTCACTATCATGAGAACAGCACGGAGAAAACCCACCCGCATGATTCAGTTACCTCCCACTGAGTCTCTCCCATGAGATGGGATTATGGGAGCTACAATTCAAGATGAGATTTGGGTGGGGACACAGCCAAACCATATCAGATGTGGAACCCAGCTTGGCTCCTACTGATTAGCTTGCAAATTAAATTGTTGTGCGGTATGTGGAACAAATGGCAGCTTCCATCACTTCCTTATCATGGATTAAAAGACTGTCACATTCTTCAGTGTAATAAAGCTGATATGACAATGAAAATGAACTTTCTTTTATTTTCCAGATGGTAAAACTTGTTGCACTGTAGCAGCAAATTATTACTGGCTTTTTCCAGAGTGTGTACCCTGCCTTTGCACTATATACTCACTCTGAATCTATTATTTAAAAAGGCATTCAACTTTGTCTTGTGTCTCAATTCTTAAATAATTTAAGGACACCTCTGACTTGTACAATTCTGCCTTTGTTTGACTTGTACAAACCTGCCAAGGTTTCCATGTCTTCACCTAGGAAACCATACATTTCTAGGTATTGGACAGAGTTTAAAATGAAGAAAATATTTTACCTGATACTGTCCTGCATGTGAGCCTGTAAGTGGGCTCTATTAGAATCCGTCAATTTATGAAGGCCATAAACAGCCTTAGAGGAGACACAAAGGAGGCTGATAATTTGCTTAGTGTTCAGCAGTTAGGGAAATTAGGCCAGGGACTGTATAGCCTTCATAAATCCTGGGCTATTTGCATGTCCTCACCAACACTTAGTAAGGTCATAGTATATTTGATTATCAAAAACGTACAGCCACTGGTGAGCCATCATCCATATATCAGGATTACTTGTCCTTTTGGTTGTCCAAGACTGAGAGTAACTCTGGATGCAGTCCTTTTGTAGCCTGCTCTTCCTAAATTGAGAAAGCCATTCTCTTTCTGTTGGACAGGTGAGCATTTTGAAAGTACCTAATATCCAATTAGAAGAGGAGTCATGGCTCAATCATCAGGAAAGAAACATGGCTATACGGAGTCACTGCCTTACATGGACACAGTATGCATCCATGAAGGAAGAGTCTGTCTTCCGGGAAAGTATGGAAAACCCAAATTGGTAAGACGTGTGTGTGTGTGTGTGTGTGTGTGTGTGTGTGTGTGTGTGTGTGTGTGTGTGTGTGT